TCGACATCAAAATCTAAAGGAATTTTTACTAAAACTCATTCTTTGATTCTTTGAGTTTTTCTTCTTGAAAACTTAATTTGACTTTCAATCACTAATTGGAGCTTTTAAAATTTGACGATTTAAAATACACAAATATGCTAATTAAATTATTGGCCCCACCCTCCTACATTCTGTCAATAGGTCGGGAAAATAAGAAAATTCCATACAAATTTAAGATGAGAGAAAAAAAAAATGAAATTTTTAGAAGATCACAGAAAAAGAAACGGGAAGCCAAAGTAAAAAGAAATGATAACATTCACGCGTTCAAGCATAGCTTAAGGTTTCATGTTCACACCTAGGATTTCTGGTGTTTTTGTCTTTTATTAATTTTTATTTTTTTCTGTTTTTTTTTTTCTTAGTTTTTCATCTTAAAATTTCAAAACATGTTTTCAATTTGTTTTCAGAAATTTTTTTTTTGTTTTAAATTTTTTTAGGGGATTTTAGCGAAAAATTCAAAATAAATGTGACGCGTATGTCAAGATTACACGAGTCCTTGACGAAAAAGAAAAACAAAAAAAAAATAAAAAAAAACCTTAAGTGTTTCACAATGAAATAATTTTTTTTTTAATTCTGTCCCAAATTAAATTGTCAAAATTGTTCTTTATAATTTTATTTAAAATGTAAATTTTTGAAAACAATTTGCATTCCGTTCAGTTTTACATATTTTTTTCAAATCTTATGCAAGTTTCAGCAAATTGGTTTATTTCTAAAGAAAATGTATATTGAAACTTAAACAAAAGTGTTTTGCATGTTGCTTGACAAAATGTTTTAGCTAAATTTAGGAATCTGGTGAATAGACAAAACTTCGATATTATAGGTGAGGGTTAAACTAATTGTAAGAATGTACACGTGCTCATATTTGTGGAAAACCAATTGAAAGACATTAATGGCGTGCTTGAATATTGGGAAATTCATAGAACTTAACAAAAAATTTTAAATTTCAAAAATTCAGGGGTTTTATGTGAGCTAAGGAACTCATATTACATCAAATGTTGAAATGAAATTTTTATTAATTTTTTACTTACTTAAATTACATCACAACATTATGAGTTACAGAAAATAAGTTGTTAGTCTGTAATTGTCCATTTTTTTCCACATATATACGAAAGGTTCTAGTGTTCCCTAATTAATTCTATTCACAACTTCCTTTTAATAAAAATTATTTAATATTATGGAAGAAATATGTAAACTAAACAAAAAAAAAAATAGGTTTTCTCAGGCATGGAAAGCATTCTATATCGACAGTTAGAGAAATTTTTTTTTTTGTTTTAAACAGTAAAATAAACAGCGAAATAAATAGAATTTTAATTAGGCATATTAAGAAAGCAGAACTTCAAAACATGTTTTTTTGAACAAAAGTAAAATTTTCGAGATGTTATTAATTTTTAAGTTGAAAGTTTTAAGATAAAATTGTCACGGCTACAAATCTTAGCAAATTTCGTGTACTTTTAGAAGCTTAAAGGTTTATTAACAAAATATATACAGCAATTATGTGTACAAGGCGAACGAGCTCGCGAGTCATGGCAAGCAAACAAATAAATTATACAGATAAGCAAATGAAAAAACATATTAAAAGGCAATTATGTACATTTTCAAAGCAATCAGACTTTTCTTTGTGGAATCGTATATGTATATGAGAAAAACTAACGCTAGCGAATTTAGAATAAATTTTTAGATGATTTTATCTGCTTTTTGAAAAATTTGAGTTGGTTTAAAAAAGAAGAACACATTCCTTCTTAACTTCGAGGAGCCGCATTGACTTAAGCTAAGTCATTTTAAAAATTTTACTTTGAAATTTTACTAATCGAAATTCATCTCTTTACAATTTGATTTGTATCCTTAGACACATCTTGGTGATGGCACTTGATGGATAAGTTTAGTGATTTTATTGCAAACACGGCTAACTATTGCACAATCATATATAAGTATATGACAATATGTTATACAAATAAGCCAATTAATTTACTTTTGCATAAAATCAATAGCCCACGAGAGTTTTTTATATCGTAATATTCAATATTACGTTAATAAAATATTGCTGTCCCATTCTCATTCAAGTGAACTAATAGAAAATTTTTTAAGCGAAATCCAATATGTATTTAATAAAAGTAAAAGGACACGCAAATATTTTGGTGAAATTTGAAATGTTCAATTGAAATCTGTACATATCTTTCCTGACTGTTTGATCTCATATTATAGCATTACCAATCCATTTTTAGGAATTTCTCATTTATATTTTAATGAAATTGATAATATTTACGCATGTTTGTAAAATTGGTGTGCATGTATAATATTATGTTACATGTATTGGAGTTTCCAAGAATCGCTAGAATGAATTTTATTTCCGTTTGAGGAAATTAAATTGTCAACATAAATGAAATTGTTTTAGAAATTTAGGCATAAAGCTCAATTAATATTAACGTTAATATCATTTAATACGATTAAAACGATATTAGCCGAGTATTTGATTCACATAAGCATTTGTATACATAACAAGTACAAGTATATATACAGAAATATATATACAGAAATACTTCCCATATATTATCTAAAAATACAAATTTTAATGTTAATAGGTTTTCATTTTCAAGTATATTTTGAAAAGTTGGGATCAGGCAACTTTATTTGAAATTTATTATTGAAAAAGTATGGGTTATAATAGAAAATTTCTATATATAAGAAAGAGAATTTACTAAATTTTTTAAGAAAAGTTCCCATTGCTGGCAAAATATAACGCCGTTGATATTTTATTTTGAACTGTTTCAAATGTAATCCATAGAATTTGAATTCTTTATTAGGCTTTTAAGGAGAATACCGAAATTAAACATTTTCATAAAAACCAACACCCACCTTTGATTCGTGGAATCGATATGTAGGCAAATTTCTGAACACAATTCAGGAATTTCAGAAACAATTCGCAATAATTCACGAAATTTTTGGAAATTAATTACTAAAGCTCTGTTTATTAATGGAACAAACTAATCAAACGAAACCAAATTCCTGAAATCAAATCTTCTCAAGACGTCAATTTTTAGGGGTATTAAATATTTGCTAATAGTTTTCTTGATTTAACTATATTAAATGTATTGAAATTTATAAATAACATTTAAAAACTTTAAGAAATTTTGATAATCAATATAAAATTTAATATTTTCAGCAGCTTTGATTCAAATTTACCAATTTTCTAATAATTAAGAAACAAGTCCAGAAAAAACTCAGATTAAGAGAAGATGATGAAAAAATAATTATTTATTAAAAAGGACATTTGAATATTATGACTTTGCCCAAAACCAAAAATCAATTTTCTTAGTCAAATATCGATTTTCTATTTACTGTTATTGAATGTTATAAATTCCGAATAAAATATTAGTCTAATAAAATTGAGTTAAAGTAAAATGATATCAGAGGTTGAAATTCCATTAGTCAATTTATGTCCTTATGGAAAATAAGAACCATATTTATGTTTTTTTTTCTATTCAGAACACACACAAATCGTTTAAAAATAGAAAAATAATTTATTATTAAACCATTGAAAAACGCTTAAACCGATTTAAGACATTAGATATTTTAGGATAGCACAAAAAAAAGTCATATATATTCGTCGTAAAAAAGTGCTTTGGTACATACTTTGAAAAACATAATTTGGTCACAATAAAAATGACAATATAGGACTCACTAGTTGATTTTTTTTTATTATCTTAAAAAATTGAAATATAATATTTTCGGTTCCTTATGTTCATATACCCACACTTTATTAAGGAATCGTGTTATTTTAGAAGCTTGCGATTGATTTCGTGATTAGGTTTTTTTTCCATGAATAAATCTTTGTATTCCTTAATAAAAAAAAACATTGCGAACATACTATAAATTCTTACTATATACATATATATTTTCTTATTTCTGATGACAACGAAAAGATTTATTACAACCCCGATTAAAGCAAGATAATATCATCCATAAATACTGTTAAGAAAAAAAAACTATTTTTCAAGTTTTTTCCCTCAGTAGAATATTCAATTTTAATACAACAAAAATAATGCCTTCATTGTTGCGCATTTTTTTCAGTCTTTAATTTGAAAAAGAAACTTTAACTCACTGGAATAATATTCCATATAGCTTGAAATAATGTCTTTGTTGATTTTATTGACAATTGAATTAAACGAACAGAATGGTTGCAGTTTTTGGATGTTTCTCAAAAGTTAAAAAGTTTTTCTTCTGACTTCGCGTAGAAGAGGAAATAAGGATTTTGTAGACAAGAAATTTATCAACTTATCCGCTCAGAGCACAGCTTTTCAAGTACAGCAAGTTATTTTCTACTGTACTAATTTTCCTTGTGACTAAGTCCTTCGCAATTGCGAAATTTTGGAAAGGTAGCGCCTTTCGAAAAAAATTCAATGATTTCCTATAACCGCAGTTATTTTCTTTTGTTACATAACAGCTTTAAAAAAAAGAAATAAGCGCGTTCATATCATTTAAAGTATTGTAGTTTTTTGATTGCTTGTAAGTCACATCGCGTAACAATGTTCGAAATTTTTCTTTGAGACTCTACAACTAAGTATGTAAGAGCGATAAATTAAATTTCTGCTAAAGAAAAACAAACTATGATATTACTAGTTTCTTTTAATTTAGAAATTAGACTTTTGAAACATGTTGAACTTAAGGAAACTTTTATTTTGTGAGCCGGTGAAAGGTTCTACAAAGCTGGTTAGATTTGGTTGCCGACGATGAATTGGGACTCAAAGTAAAATTTTTTTGTTGCTTGCGTTAGGACTCAACGTCGAAATCAAATCGACTATAGTTTCCCAATATTTCTCAGTTTCGGTTAATATGTGTACGTCTTAAAGGGTTAAAAATTGCATATTTCAATTTTAAACTTAATTTCAAAAAATTAAAATTAAATTATTGTCATTTATATTAATTAAATTTTTTTATTACTTTAATAATTTCATTTTTTATTGCAGTTAATTTATCAATAGCTGATGCAACTGTATCAACTTTTAATGTAATCTTCAATTTCATATATATGTTACATTCACATTGGCCATTTGGAGAATTATATTGTAAAATATCACAATTTGTGTCAACACTTACAATTAGTGCATCAGTTTTTACTTTAGTAGCTATTTCAATAGATAGGTAAGTTCAAAATTCATAAATAATTTTATGTGGGAGCGTAAATCTATAGTTTTTAAGAAGAATAGTTTTAAAGCAGTTTTTTATCTATAGATTTGTGAAACACATTTTCAAATTCTTTTGAAATTTGACCTTTTCTTTTAGTGAAAGGATTAAGAGGGTATTCCGCTTCAAATATTACATGAATAAACAAATTGCCAAAGTCAATAAGTTTAGTTAAATCACAAAGCTATATCTTCTGGACCAGTTTCACGATGATACAAATTTACTTCATTTTTAGAGATAAACGAGAAAAAAAAGAGTTGACCTTGTCAACTCTGTGATACTCGTACGAATTTGTTATCCTATGTGCGAATAAATATGCCATAACTGAATATGGGACAACTAGACTATGATTTTAAGTTGCCGTATTACTATATTAATTTATGCAAAATTTCACTACTGTGTTTTCAAAATACTGTGTGTGGCAAACTGCTATTGAAGTTGTATGGCAGCTACCAAGCAATACCAGAAAGAGCCAAGCAATTTTAACGAATTTTATCAAACACATCGGCCCTACTAATATATTCGCTTGTGTGAAATTTCAATACCATACCTTTTATAGTTTCTGAGATATAGCCAAATAAATTTTGAAGTTGTATGGTAGCTACCTGAACCGGTACTCCGATCATGTCCAATTTAAATAGAGTTCTGGCACTTACTACAATAAGTCATTTGTGAAAATTTGGTGAACTTAGTTGAATAGCTTTTGAGTTATCGCTGGGACGGACAGACAAAGCTAAATCAACTCAGAATTTGACGTTGATCAAAAGCATATACTTGAGCCTATATTTAAGACCGTTATTTCTTAGCGTTACAAACGGTAAGGCAAATTTGGTATACCCTTCGAACACACGTTCGTACGGGTATAATAACAGTTTAAAAGCGTTTTTTAGAAAGTTATTTATGGAAGAAACGTTTTTTGAAGAAATTATACCGATAATCTTAGTAATGTTATTAATTTTTCATTCATAATTAGAAAATCGCGCAAAAAATTCCAGTAATCTGAAAATAGATATAGGATTTTAACTGCATCCTTAAAATATGTCTACATAGGTTACTTAGAAAATACTTACGGAGCTTAAGGAAAATTGACGCACAGCTTAAGAAATACTTCCAACACATGTTTTCTTGTTTTTGAATCATATACAATTTTAGTCTTAAATCAATTTAGTCTTAAATCAAAGTTTTATAACTTTGAAATCATTCACATTATAGTAGATCACTTCAAAAAAATCTTTAAAAATTTATTAAACAAACGTCTACCAAACTCCTAACTTCAAATTATTCAGAAAAGTTTGCAAATAGTATACAACATGTATGATGTACAAGAAAAAAAATTTACGAGTTTTTACCATAGAAATTCATTAGGATGTTTTGTTATTCTAATGAAGCCTCACTTATATTTTATCAAAAGAATTTCAATGTTCAGATTGTAAAAACTTTACTTTTCTATTGAAATATTGAAATTTTATTGAAATTTGGATGAAAAAAAAAATTATTTTAAAAGAAAACTTTTTTTATAATTTAAACAAATAGAAAAGTCCTTTTCAAGTATCTTTTTAAATACTTTAATAATCAAGTCTTACAGAGGATAAAGTTTTCAACGAATAAACAGTTATTTTATCCTTTTTATCCTTATTGTTAAACCACTTTTCATCTTATATTATAAATTATATTACTGGAATTTATTTTTGGAAATCATTATGAATTTATTTTACAATTATGAAATTTTAAAAGCAAAAAAATTTCTTTGTGAAGAAGAGAAGAGCATTTGTACTGAAAAAAAAAAATTTCCAATAAAATAATTTTGCTGTGAAGTAAATCACTAGTATTTCTTCGCACCTTAAATTCAAGTAAAAATTTAAGAATAATCACTTTGTACAAAACAAATTAACACAAAGTTTTAGTCGAATATAATCTGTTCCATTATCGAAAGGCATTGATACAACAAAAATAATATAAACGGGGGTTTCGCCAGCTTAGTGTAGGCGATATTCTGAACATAGAATTGAAGGAAATCGAAAATATCAATCGCGTTTTATAAACTGTTTTAAATTTTAACAGGTTGATTGCTTATACTAAATAACAATGCCTGTTAGAATAGTTCCTTTGAGGTATAAAAAATAAAAGTTTATTGGAATATTATTTATTACAACTGTAACATGCAAATCTGCTCCGTAAAAGATGTGACCACGTAAAAAAATTTAATTTTAATGAAATTGTTTTTCTACTCAAAATTATTTAATCCTAAATTCTCTTTAATTTAAGAAGCAGTTTCCTGAAATTTTTGTTTTGTTACGGATTTCCTACCGTCAATCTGAAAAAATCTTTTTTTCTTAGAATTTAAAGTACAAGTATGTTTCAATTTATATGAAATAAAGTTTTCCCATTAAATTTTACTTTGATCTTTATTTTGTTAAAAAATTTTTTTTTTTCTCCATTAGATTTTTGTAAAAAAATTTGGAAGAAAAGATAATCAAATGCTTAAAACAATAAGAAAAATTCACATTTTCTTTGGTTAGCTTAGACAGAGAGCATAATAAATTGGGTAGTAATTTTCTTCTACAAAAATAGACTGATCGTTACCGATTTCCTTGAAGAAGGAAATTACTACCCAAACTTATCCCCCTCGAAAAGATTTAATTCGACAAAGTCCTACAAAAGTCAGTTTTTAATTACCTTCTTAAAAGGAAAAAGTTGCTACTTTTCTTTAAATTCTGTCAAATTTAATTCCATTTTAAAATGTTCAGTCAAAACAGGGGTCTTTTATTCACATGGCCACTGTTTTACTGAAATATTGACACAGTCTTATAAGAACTTTTGTTGGGTCCCGGACATATAAATTTTTTAAAATAGTCACACGGGTATTAAATGTTTTATACGGTCAATTCTTATTTTTTTTTGCTTTAAAGCAATTATTATTGAACCAATACAAAATTGTGATTTTTTCTAATATACCCCCATAATATTTTTTGTTATTATTGACAACATAAAAATTTCAAAGAAAATTTCACATGGAGGACCTATTTAACTGAATTTGCTAAAGAAAATTCAATGAATTCATTTATTATTATTTAAAATTTTCTTTATTACGTCATTTCAATTATTATTTATTATTAAGCTAAATTTATTTAAGGCATTTTTTGTTGTGACATAATTACGACAGCTATATAGAACATTCGCGAACAAAACTGTCATTAAATTTTTAAATCTAACCACATATTATGTACGTACGTATGTTTTTTCTGAATATTAAAACCCATATCATAACTCATTTTATATTATTCAACGACTTCTTATTGAAATGCTGTGTTTAAGGTTAGCATATACATATGTACATATGTGCAAACATAAGATTTATACATACACATATCTATTTGCGTAAATAATAAATTTCATCATCTAATAGAAGATTATACATGAGCTGCATAACTAATAAGCATATATGCCTGAAAAGTATTTAAGAATAAAATTTCTTTTATATGCGATGCAATAAATTTTTAGCTAATAAAATAAACTGTTGAAGGACTTAATATGAAATATGAAATGATTTTACTCGTTCAATCCACCCACACATAATAATTGCGATCATGTCCAGAAAAAAATTATATCGAATTGAAATTTATGTTCAATATTGATTGGACATTCAAAATAAAATTCTTAGAAATATGAGTTGATTATATGAGTAGGTCAATTTTATTTTATAGGTAAAAATTCTGTTAAAATTGACTTTTAATAAAATACTGTTATTTATTTGGGATTCAATATTTTGTAATAAATCATTTAAATTAGTTTTTGTTCACCAATGTTTATTTTGCGTCTTTGGTAAAAAGTGTAATAGTTGTGTATGTATGCATTTAAATGTACATATAAACGTGTTTGATACAATAAAACTTTTTATGAAAACATGTACTTAAAATAATTTTTGAACTGTTTTTTCAATCTTTCATAGAAAAAGTAAATATCCTATCGATGTGATTTTCCTCTGAAATGTGATACAATATCTATTGATTGATTTTCAACATAAAGTTAGAAAAAACAGTACGTTCTTGTAATAAGCTCGGATTTTTCTAACAACATCCTATAAAATCAAAAGCAACAATTCAAATCTATGCAAAATTTGACATATCACGTAAATCTGGCCATCTACCATCTGTCAATTGTCAGTCCAAATAATTTTCTTGTACGTTAATACAAGAAAATATCAAATAGATATCACAAATGATATCAAATAGATATCACAAATTATTTGTAATAAATAATTTGTGATATCTATTTGATATCAAAAATTACAATCTAATTGTGATATCAAATAGATATCACAAATTAGCTTTAATCAGACAAATTGTTTAGTCGGAACACTTTTCTTTTTAAGAACTTTGCTTAACATAACCAAAATTGAACGGAATAGTTGTCCTATTACCAAATCTGTTGATGTCAGATTTGGAATTTCGGAATTGTATAACAGCTGGTTAAAAAAATATTTGATCGTGTTCGACGGTAACAATTTTTAGTAATTTGCGAAAAATTTGTTAACCTTACTCAACGGTTTTTGAGTTTGGGGTAAATTTTTAATACGTTCCAAACATTGTTCCTACTAATTTTCCTATTCCTATTTTTTTATTGATTTTCAAAATCTTAGATTATTTTCAAATAAAAAATAGAAATAAGTCAAGAGTTACTGATCTTGATGATATTAAGAGCTATGGAAACGATAACATGATTTGAAACTTTATACTAATGACATAAAAAGTCCATATATGCGTTTGCAAAATTTGTATCCTAGACCAGTAAGTAATACAAAAATGGGTAATAAAAATTTTAAAATATTCTATTAAAAAATTTTTAATATTTCTTTATTAATTAAAGCGAAATTTGAATCCGCATGAATGACATCGTTAATTGAATAAATTCTGAACAAACCAATAACTTATACTTTCAATAGCACATTTCCGTTCCCA